AAAAAAAAAAAAAAAAAAATTCAACATGATTTAAAATCACCTGTTTAGGAAAGCATCTATGGTGTAAAGATATCCATGATGATAATGAGCTGAGTATATACTTCATTCTTCAGTATAGGAAATTAAAATGTGAGTTTATCAGAATGAGTAACTTAAAGAGAAATTGCGTATCTCTTCTCCTGTCTTTTTAAATGTAAGAATCTCTAGAAATATTTTTTGTTTAAAGTAGTGGTAGAGCTGTAAAGTGATTGTTTTTTAAATAATTATTTTTAGAAGTTATATTTTTGGGTTTTTTTCTTTTTTTTTTTTGAGGCAGGGTCTCACTTTGTCACCCAGGCAGGAATATAGTGGCACAATCATGGCTCACTTCAGCCTCAACCTCCTGGACTCAACAGAACCTCCTGGGCTCAACAGATCCTCCCACCTCAGCCTCCCAAGTAGCTAGGACTAGAGACATGTGCCACCATGTCCAGCTAATTTTTCTATTTCTTGTAGAAACATGGTCTCACTATGTTGATCAGGCTGGTCTCGAAGTCCTGGGCTCAAGTGATCTCCCCACCTCAGCCCCCTAAAGTGCTGGGATTACAGGCATGAGCCACTGTACCTGACCAGAAGTTATATTTTTTTAAAACTCCTAAGTCCAATGAGATTATTAAATGCAGTATAGCTTATGTTAAACAAACATTACTGTCTTAGTCTGATGAGTTTTGGTCTCAAAACTCACATAAGAATAAAATTACTTAGGCTGGGCACAATGGCTTACCCCAGTAATCCCAACACTTTGGGAGGCCAAGATGGGCAGATTGCTTGAGCTCAGGAATTCGAGACCAGCCTGAGTAACATGGCGAAATCCCATCTCTACAAAAAAATAACAAAAATTAGCCGGGCATGGTGGTGGGCACCTGTGGTCCCAGCCATTCGGGAGGCTGAGGTGGGAGAATCACTTGACCCTGGGGGACGGAGGTTGCACGCCACTGCACTCCAGCTTGGGTGATAGAGTGAGACCCCATCTCAAAAAATAAAAAGAATAAAACTACTTTTGTAACTGTGGAGAAATCTGTGCATCTCAGAAACTCTCCCTGATGAACTTTGAGTTACTCTGTGGTTTGCATGTCTAGGAAGTCACTAGATTGGACACTTCCATTTACAGCTAGCATTCAGGGAGGTCACCTCAAGTTCCCAAGTCTCCTTTGTCTCTGCACATTAATGAGCCAAAAATCCAGTTACTACTCTAAACGAATTGATACTCACTATAAGTATTTGAAGCCAGAACATGTTCAGATTTTTCTCAGAACATTTTCATGTCTCAGTTAAGCATTGAAGTAGAAAAGGAAAAAAACAAAATTTGCTGGGTTGTTTTGTGTTTTTGTTTGTTTGTTTGTTTCCCCCTCGGAATAAGCTCTAGTGATTTTTGAACACATGGCTCTTGGGCAGTGTACTGTGAATTGCTTTTACAGCTCTAATTCAGGAACAAAACATGCTATGAGATTAAAGGCTTGGAAGGATTATGTGAACTTACTTTAAACTTCATTTTGGACACTGAAGGAATTACTGTGTGAAGAAAAAAATGAGTCTTTAAGCAGTCTCTAACAAAGTGGCAAGTTACTATTAATGGTTGGTTTTATTCAGCTGTTTTTGTTTGGTTACCTGAGAAGAGAATACCAGTACCATGGAAGTAGAAATAGACAAGAAGTTTATAGCTCCAATGTGCTTATGATCTCTTTGGGCAGACAGAACATGCTTTTTTTTTAATCATAATATATGTACTTATTACAGAATATAGTCACCATCATTTGTCTACTGACAAGATTACATAGAAAAAAGAAATTAACATTAAGAAATGCTTATCTTTAAATGTTCACTTAGATATTGGAAAAGATTGGGGTGATTTACTTAACTATGCACGTGTATATATCTCCTTTTTTTTTTTTTTTTTTTGAGACAGTGTCTTACTCTGTCGCCCAGGCTGGAGTGCAATGGCAGGATCGTGGCTCACTGCAACCTCCGCCTCCTGAGTTCAAGTGATTCTCCTGCCTCGGCCTCCCAAGTAGCTGGGACTGCAGGCACAAACCACCACGCCCAGCTAATTTTTGTATTTTTAGTAGAGGTGTGTTTCGCCGTGTTGGCCAGGCTGGTCTTGAACTCCTGACCTCAGGTGATCTGCCCACCTCCGCCTCCCAGAGTGCTGGGATTACAGGCGTGAGCCACCGCACCCAGCCCACTTCAATATTTTCATCAGTAAATTAGTACACTTTAGAGTTGTAGTGATTGAAATAATAGATATACAGCATATAAGTAAAATGCTTGGCAAACAGCAAGTGCTTACTAAGCAATGGCTACTCATAATAGTAACAGCTGATTTAATAATAGGATTTGTGAATAAGATAGTATTTTCTGCTCTACACATGAAGAAATTAATACTTGCAGAGGATAAGTAATTTGCCTAAGATTGTCCAGCTAAATAAAAAGTAGAGCCAGATTGAACCCAAGAAGTATAATTTCAGAGACCAATCTCTTAACCATAATACTATTACACTCCCTTATTATTCATTCATTTATTTCACAAAAAATTAACTGCCAGGTACTGTTTGTCACTAATAACATTATTTATACTGAAGACAAGAAAATACGCACAATGCGATGAAGATGGGCTTTTAATGACATAGCTTTTTACTTTGACAAAGCCTAATCCAAATATTTAAGCATTTGCATAAGTAACATCTGCTTTAAAAATATAGAGTCAATGAATATTGCTTCTCCCAATAACATGAGCCAGATAATTTCAAATAAATAATGTGTTTATAAAACCTTGGATTTTTTTCACTGTATTATTCATGCATTTGGATAAGACTCGAGTGAGGATATTTCTTATTTATTTATTTATTTATTTTTTATTTATTTTTATTTTTTTGTTTTGTTTTTTTGAGACGGAGTCTCACTCTGCCTCCCAGGCTGTAATGCAGTGGCGCGATCTCTACTCACTGCAACCTCCATCCCGGGCTCAAGCGATTCTCCTGTCTCAGCCTCCCGAGTAGCTGGGATTACAGGCGCCCACCACCATGTCTGGCTAATTTTTGTATTTTTAGTAGAGACGGGGTTTCACCCTGTTGCCCAGGCCGGTCTTGAACTCCTGACCTCAAAATGATCCACCCAACTCAGCCTCCCAAAGTGCTGGGACTACAGGCATGAGCCACTGAGCCCAGCTACTTATTTTTAAAGATTTTAAAATTACCAATAAACACTGGTCATAGATTGACCCTTGTATTCTAACTACCAGAAAGCAGACAAGTCATAAACCATTTGCTTCTTTATCCTAGTCATGAAATAACGTGTTCTGAACAGAAGCACTCACAGTTGAGTTTAAACAGCCTGTTAGTTTCATATGAGTGGGATCCTTTCAGTATGCTTAATTTTTGCTTCTGAAAGTTTCTGCCGTCTCAACTTTCAGTATAAGTAGAACTGTTTTTTTGAGTTTTATGAATATATATTTATTTATTTTTAAAAACCAAAGAGATTTTCTTGGTGGTTATTGTCAACCAAGCTGTGACATGTTAATGATGTAGTTTAGTGTCCCTAATAAAGTCACATGAATGCTTTTCTATATTGTGGGGTTTTCCATTCAAAAGTCAACCATATGATTGCATGTGTGCTGAATTAGACTTTGTAAAGAGATTATATAATGTCTTCTTGAATGTTTTATCTAATAAAAGAAATATAATGGGGTCTGTGCTACTTCTGGCCGAAGCAAGACAGGTGAGGATGTTTTTTGTTTCTATTAAATAATTCAGTTGCTGACAGTTATCTCTTTGATGTAGAACATAAAAAATGGGTTTAAAAATACTATAAGGAAGGAAGCAAACTATTAGTAGAATCTGGATGACCAAAAGATGTCTTTTCACAGAACTGTAAGTCAAATCTTTCTCCATAATGGATGTACAGGTTCTTATTTTTCTCAGATGGCTTACAAAAGAGTAGTATGATGTTAGTACTACTAAAAAGGAAAATCCAATAAATGTGGTTCCAATGAGACCTGCAATCTGAGAGATCATGGCTCCTAGTTCCATTTGCCGATTGTAGCATAGGCTTTCTTCTCCTTCTGTAGCCTCTATGACTGAGTAGTATATAGTAACTGGAATAATTATGCCCAGTACAACTCCCCATATGTAAATGCATAGTTTTCTAGCAAAGTTGGGCTGGCGAAATTTTTTCAGTAAATGGCCATAAAATATTTTCTCATAGCACGAAGTAGTCTCTTGCAAGGAATCCTTTTGCATTAAGGTAGCATAGCGGCTTACGGCAATCCAGCTTAAAATTAAGAGGCTGACAAACATACTTACATGCATGGATAGAGTTCCCAGAAAATTGACCACTCTGCATTGAGCAGATTGATATTCCCATTGGAAACCTTTCAGGAAATAGATACTCATGAAAGGCATGGCGCTGCACACAAGTAAGTTTGCAGTCACAAGGTGTGACAGGTAGATGTGCGTTGATGTTTTTTTACCTATTTTTGTTAAAAATATCCATTGAGAGAGAGAGTTTCCAAAAACACCAACAATACAAAGGAGGATGTAAATGATTGGTAAAGCCATGGAAGAGATCATAGATGGTTGAATACATGTTGTGTTGTTGTTCATTTATGTCAGATTTTCTTGAATTTTGTCACGGGAGCTAGAACAGAATTGCAGATATTTAATATTAAAATTATTTTTGGTACAGTATTTAAGCTGAATAGTTTTTTTTTTTTAAAGCATTGAATTAAATAAAATAGTAACAAAAATGTATTGGATGGAACGGGAAAGTGTAGATGGCTTCTTACCTTTTCCAATCACAATTGTCCGGTTGAAATAAAGACAAAAAGTTACTTATTGTGATGGATAATGCCTTTGTCTAAAAAACAAAATTTGATGTAAATAGTTACATGCCTGGGATTTATAATTTTACTTAGAGAAATGGATAGTTCTTAGATTGTAAAACAATTTGTAAGTGATGATTGATTTTGCCTAGAAATATAATTTAAAAATTTTTAAGGCACATGCAACCAATACATGTTGGCCAAAGTATTACAGAAGTATTTTGTGGCCACAATAATAGAGAGTTGACTGGTTTTTAATTACCACATTACTTATATATAGTTTTCAAAATGGTGTCTTTTTGTGTCTAGGCTAAAACACTCCTTTGTAACCTAATACTATTAGAAGAGTCTCTTTTCATATTTCAGAAGTTACCTCAATTCCACGTGAGCAAAATTTCAGGCAAAATCCTGAACTGAATAGAAGAAAAGTGTAGCAACCAAGGACAGACTCCAAAATCCCAGGGTCATTACCAAAGAGTATTTAAAATGTCATTTCAAATATTCAATGTTAAACTGTCATACTTCAATAAAAGTTTACACATGTATGTCAAAACTGTAGTTACAGCCAGATGTGGTGGCTCTGCACCTGTAATCTCAGCACTTTGGGAGGCCAAGGTGGGACGATTGCTTGAGACCAGGATTTCAAGAACACCCTGCGCAATGTAGCGAGACCCTGTCTCTATAAAAAAATACAAAAACTAGACTGGGTATGGTGGCTCATGCCTATTATCCCAGCACTTTGGGAGGCCACGGCCAGCCTGGGCAACATGGTGAAACCATGTCTCTACAAAATAATTAGCCAGGCATCCTGACATGTGCCTGGAGTCCCAGCTACTTGGGAGGCTGAGGTTGGAGGATCAGTTGAGCCTAGAAGTTCAAGGCTGCAGCAAGCTATGATCATTCTACTGCACTCCAGCCTAGGTAACAGAAAGAGACCCTGTCTCAAAAACAAAAACAAAAAAACTGTAGCTGCTATGCTTGTTGGTTAGAGTATCCTTGTGTGTAAATTGGTATCTGAGTTTTTCAGAGGATTTTTTTTTAAAGGATATGATGTTTTAATCACAACATAAATGCTGGTTTTTACTTTTTTGTGTCTTATATTTAAATCTTTCTCACTTCAAAGGGTACATGTGAAGTGCTGAAGAATCATATATAAATTGCTTTTATTCTTATTTTTCTCCTTATTTCCTCACTTCTTTCAGGTGAGAATAACAAAAGTTACTGGATTCTGGTCAAATAAGAACCATGATCTCTATTCAGAATGTGCCATATTCTGTGTCCTTCACCATAGCCTTCTGGGCACCACATTCTCCACTCTTTCATGATCTAGAGCAAGGTTTCTCAATCTTTTTTTTAATCATGTTCTCTTTTGATAAACATAAAAATTGTACCATACACAGCCCTTGGAAATTCTTATATCCCCCCAGCCCCTCAGGGCAATTTTACTCTCTACCCCCTTCAGCATTATGGTTTGATTTATTTTCTGTATCTTGGATTACAGAATTTGGGTTTTTTTCTCAAAATAATATTATAATTTTGTAATAACTTTTTAAACCAATCCACACCCAAAGTCTTGAAAACTTGAGGACTGTGCATTGTGTGTGGGTTTAAATACCGAGATTCTTAATTAATGTCTACCAGTGTCTTTATAATTTTCTTTGCTATTTGTATTTAGAAAACAGTCCATATGCTTCATTGTAAGTTTGTATCTGAATCTAGTGCAACCTGATGAATTATAATCTGGTTGCAGTTAGTGTAGACCCTGGCATAAATATATAAAACCTAATCTGTAACTTCACCAGTTCAAAAATCAGGCAGATGGAGTATGAAATGAGCCGGTTTATTTAAGAAAAAAAATTATCTGCTCACAGTAGATTTTAATTTTACATAAGGAATGGAGCTTCCTTTTATGATGCTGTTAAAGAAAAGCATTAGCTCCTGCCTTGTGCAGATAATGCATAGTATACTAAAAACTGCAAAGGTAATGGTGCTTCTGTATGAATAGTAAATGCTTCCAAACAAAAAGGAGATAAAATATACTTCTGCAGAGGCTAGCTTTATCAGACAGAAGTTGAGTCTCTATAGGACTCTCACTATAGCAATCAACAACTAGGTCACCATCTTTACCTTCCCAAACTTGTATCTACTATGTACATCTCCTTCAAAAATAAACTTTGATCATAAAACTACTTGATAACTATTTTCCAAAATTTGGAAAGTACTGTTGAACTTAAGAAATGAAATAAAAATTACATGTTACAGATGCAAAACTGGTCTTTAGAAAATGTCTGTAAGTCTATATTCCCCTCAGGAGAATGTCTATCTCAAGTCACTCGTGCATACATTTTGTCTCTGCTAATTTGACAAATGAAAAAAGTTCTACAACTCTTAACTTCAGTTACTAATGACTATCTACATAATTATATGCTGACTGCCTTTCTTAAGGATCAGCTTTCAAAATTTAAACCATTAGGTCCTGTTTATTTTTATAGAGTTTAATTTTTAAGCTAAAAATGAATAATAATCACTCTTACCTGTATGAGTAGTTTATGCCAACTAAGGTTATATTGTTCAGGGCAGTGATGCCAAATTTCAGACTTAAAATTCTCTGATCTTCGCACTTCCAATATCTTTAGTCAGTGTAAATAGACTCTTGTATGACACCAACTACAGTGGGAGGAAAAGGGGAAATTAAACAGTATTGAAGAAATTCAATAGTTATGGTCAATGTGGCAACTACCTCCTCAAAAAACCCTCATTTCTCTATTTCTGTAGCGGGAGGAAGTTGGTGGACAATATACATATTATACTTCCTTATGATTATTTCATGAACTAGTTACACCCCAGTAAGCTTTGTTTGCACGATTGACTGAAGTTCACAGATTTAATCCCCCATGGCTAGTTTTATATGACACAGTGATAGAAGGAGCCACTCTGTTAGTAACCCAATACAAATATTGGTGCAAATTTGTCTGTAAAATTGTTTGCGGATGGCTTATTTGCAATCCATCTTTATCAAAAATAGAAACAAAACTCAGTTTTCTTATAACTTACTAGAATCAAATATTATAGAGCTAAAATAGAACTTCATGATCATCTATGGATTGAGACCCTTTGTTTTAAAGTTGAAGAAGCTGAGGCCCAGAGGAACTCACTGTAAGCACAGACTGCACCCAGGGTTGGGTCCCAGTTTGGTTACTAATGAGTTAACCCACTCTGTTTCTGATTGCCCTGCACTACCTCCATTTATCAACATAATACACTGTTTGGGGCATTTCATAATAGATTTGGCAAATCCTGGGAGTGCCAAGTATGCCTCAGATCAAATGAATAGTTATATTAATAAAGAATTGTGAAACCATGACTAGTCTAAAACAATAAAAATTTTAAAAATAGAATTGTGAAACCAATTTTTTGTACAAGATTGTCGAATCAGCCTGTGACCTACTAACTAAATGAAAGCTAAGTGTGTACATCTGGGGCGGAAGACTTGCATCAAGCACTCCCTCTCATCCTTGAGTAGTTAAACCAGTGGGAGTCTGAAAAAGAGAACAGAAATCTAATTTCATCAAACTTGAGCACTTTAGTTATCACTAAATCTTCACTTAAAATTAACAGAGGTACCTTGCCATTTCTCATAAACCCCTGATGCTTACCTTATTTCATGTTTATTTCATAAATTTTCTCTGATGTTTGCTAATATTTCTCTCTAAAACAAAAGTGAGAACTGCCTAGTGTCCGGATTGTGTTCTGCTGCTGTTCATCTTTGCCTTGCCACCATTTACTTAAGAACAGTGACTCATCCAGGGTTTCATGGCCATTCATTACAGAGTAATTTGACTTTTAGAATTCTTATCACTTTTACTTCAGTAATGTATCATGTTCCGGGAAGGAATTACATAGAACAAAAAACAGTTTTAAGTAATTTAGAGAAGAACAGAAATGGAATGCTATTTCTAAGTGATTGAAAAATAGTTGTAATATTATCTGTTCAGGCATAAGCATCTTTGGTCCGAAAGAAAGAACACTCTTGTTTTCCTCCATTGTCTCCAAACTCAGTAAATGATACCATCACTCCTTCAGTTATTCAAGCCAAAAACTTAGGAATCATCCTTAATTTCTCGTTCTTTCACATCTCACATCTATCTAATCAATTGCTGGTACTACAGCTTCTACTATCACTACCATCATTCATTAGCCACATTTCATGAGAGCTTACTATGTGCCAGATATCTTGCTATGTGCCTTACATTCAAGTCTTATTTGGTTTTCACAACACCCTGTGAAATGTCTCATTTTAAAGGTGAGGAAAACTGAAACTCAGAAAGATCTCATAAGTTGCCCAAGGTCACACAGCCATCTGTCCTCACAGGATGGTGATTGGCTCACCTCAAAGCAAGTAATTCAAGAACAAGTCCATAGCTGCAATGCCTTTTTGTGATCCAGCCTCTGAAGTCAACACTGTCATTTCTGCAGTATTCTATTGGTCACACAGAGCCAGCCCTGGATCAGTGTGGGAGGGGTAAATATCAGGAGGTGATGATCACTGGGAGCCATATTGGAAACTGGCTACCACAGATGTCAATCAACCATTGAAACAAAGGAAGAGTCAGAAGTACTGCTTAAAAACCGTTGTCAGTCCACTGGTTGTTTATTGGGCAAGCATACCTGGATAGGTGTAAGTTTTGCCAGTTCTTACACTATTTTGGTTTTTAGGTCTATTTTTGTTAAACAGTGTAATTCATTCAACAAATATTTATTGGAGTTTCTACTATGTTCCTAGCAGCATGTGGAGGTCACAGAAGTAGGATGTTTAGTCACAAGCTAATTGAGGGTCTCTGGAAATTGAACAGATTCCACAAGCAAGCCAAGAATTTAGATTAATATGTGATATGTGATACAGATTTCAAATGCTCTGTGAATTAGAGAAGGGCAGAAACAGTGACTCAAAGTGGTTCTGAAAGGCTTTGTGAAAGCAAATGGAGGGAAGGAGAGGAGAACATAGCCTAGTGAGTGAGAGTTCTGTGCCAGGTATGGGACAGAGCATTTTATGCCTAAGAACCCTAGAGATGTGTGGTGGGAGTCCCATTTTACACGAGAGGAAACTCAAAGAGGTTAAATAGCTTGCCTAGAGGAATACAATTAGTAAATTTGCTTTAAAATGACCTCATTCTCTGCCTTAGAAAGAAATTATTGGTTGTTCTTGCAGGTCAATAAGGGTACCTTATGGTACTCACGATAGGGTCATGTTTTAAGTATTTTTAACTTTGTTCAGATAGGGTTTCCTGTTTGATTTATGTATTTGTGTATCCTGCTCTAGACTTGAGGTAGCAGAAACTGACTATGGAAGAAATCAAGTCCAGTTTTTTTCTATCTTTGAAAACTCTGGACTTTGTTAAGCAAACTGTTATTCCAACAATGTCAGTATAAATTCTTTAGGATTCAGTGATTTTGAGTTCCCCAGTTGAAATATAGGTGAATTTTCATTCTTCTAAGAAATTAGGAAATACTGTTACAATTGGTAAAAAGAGTAAATGTCAGGGAATACTAGATTAATAAAGTATGTTACAAGTATTCTGTAAAGTGGCCCCTTTGGACTTTTCTCATTCAAATCACCGGTAGTTTTCTTTGGTTCTCATTCATCTTGCCCATCCGTCTCTTCAAGGTTCCCCTTCTATTGTCCCAAGTCCAAATGCACTTGACCTAACAGTTCTAGTTGCTTCCTATATCATCTGCCAAATATTGATCTCCTAAGTATTCTGCTCTCACCCTTAGGATTTACTTCCTTGAGGTGTTAGAGTTATGTCCTACAATTGAAGTTCTGTCTTGTAATAATTTTCCTGCTTTTGAGATGGATTTGTGTATCAAGTGTGTTTTTTAATTTGGCCCCAAAATTCATTTGGAGTGGTTCAGTGAGAGTGTTTCAAAGGGCAGGCACATACTTACTTGGCAGAGGAGATACCATAATCAAAGGGCAGGCATGCGGACATTTATTTTGGCAATCCACGGTGGGCTGTACATAGCAGGGGGACATGAGAGCTTTCCTGACTCACATGGATTGTTGGGGTTAGAATTAGGGTCCCTTATCAATTTCCCTCAGAGCCAGAACCCAGAGGACACAGGACAGCGTAGTCATTCCTGAAGCCATGTGCTTCATCTAGAAATTATTTTAGGCTATCCAAACTAGTGTTTAAATTGGCTGCAATTGGCCTTTTAAGTACTCTCACTAACCAATCAGGAGCTCAGGGCATTGGGAGGCTGGTATGCAGAAAGAAAAGACATGACTAATTTATACACATTAGACTATCGTATTCAAAAGATAATTATTTCTTTAAATCAGGGGCAGTAGTAAGTAAGCCTTGTCCAGTTCAACATATACCCAAGCCAGTGGTTATCTTTAGGAGGAGTGAGGCACAGTGCAGTTACCCAAAGCTATGGTTTGTTCAAGGCTCACTGAGCCCCCTGTCCTCTCCAGGAAGTGGTATCTGGCCACAGCCTTGTTTCCAGTCACACTGTTCTCAGGCCCTCACCGCCTGCCACAAGTAGCTCTGATCGTGGGTGTCCCACCCTTAATTAGAGTATGAAGAAAAACCTCTCCTTGTTCTGAAGAGCTGGTTTCTCAGCAAGCAATGGGAGCATTTCTCCCAAGAATTACTTTTAAAAACAGCAGAAAATACAATCTGAAGTTTGTAAATTTATAATAACACAGAAAAGTTATCAGCTTTTGTAAAAAGTAAAATAGAGGTTCCTCTTCAAAGACCTTCCTCTCCATTTAATTAGGAATAAATAGTAACTTCTCTTAGAAGCAAAATTTATTCAAAGACCTGTGCTAACATTCTTAAATATCTGCTAGCCGTAATAAATAAATCAATGTACTTTATGTTCTTAGCTCCCACAATTTGGCCCAAATATTTGCCCTGGCATGCTTATACTGGTCCAAGCAAACATTGGGTAATAGCCTGTTCCTCTTCCTTATTTGAAGGTGTTTTTACCTTTCTCAGCATTCCACAAGTTACTTCCTCCTTCCTTTGTTCTCCTCTGCCTTTGCCTCTTTTAAAAAGTTCTAAGTTGCTAGCCAATCAAGACAAATACAGAATGTGAGGTCCCGTTCCAGCCAATGGAAACTGGACACAGCAGTAAGGTGGACGCATCACGTTATAAATGACCCTGTCTCCTTTGTTCGGTGTCCTCCTGTGGCAAAACTGCTGGCGAGTATACCCTTTCTGCAGGAAGTAAAAATGGCCTTGCTGAGTAAATTAAATTTATGCTCAAGTGCTATTTCTTTATGGCACCGGGGAACAAGCATTTCAAACACTTTTAAGAAAAGACTAATGACGGCTGGGCACGGTGGCTCAAGCCTGTAATCCCAGCACTTTGGGAGGCCGAGACGGGCGGATCACGAGGTCAGGAGATCGAGACCATCCTGGCTAACA